ATATAACTAAACTATAAATAACTATATATTATAATTCATATATCAATTCATATATTAATTCATAAATATAACTAAACTGTAAATAACTATAAACTATAAACTACTATAATTTTGTATTAATTTACTATTTAAATGAAATACTTACATGTTAAAGAGAGAAAGAATTAATATTCTGTTGTTATTAATTTCTGTAAAATATATTAATTCATATATCAATTCATATATTGATTCATAAATATAACTAAACTATAAATAACTATATATTATAATTCATATATCAATTCATAAATATAACTAAACTATAAATAACTATATATTATAATTCATGTATCAATTCATAAATATAACTAAACTATAAATAACTATATATTATAATTCATGTATCAATTCATATATTGATTCATAAATATAACTAAACTATAAATAACTATAAACGACTACTATAATTTTGTATTATTTTACTATTTAAATGAAATACTTACATGTTAAAGAGAGAAAGAATTAATATTCTGTTGTTATTAATTTCTGTAAAATATATTAATTCATATATTGATTCATAAATATAACTAAACTATAAATAACTATAAACGACTACTATAATTTTGTATTATTTTACTATTTAAATGAAATACTTACATGTTAAAGAGAGAAAGAATTAATATTCTGTTGTTATTAATTTCTGTAAAATATATTAATTCATATATCAATTCATAAATATAACTAAACTATAAATAACTATATATTATAATTCATGTATCAATTCATATATTGATTCATAAATATAACTAAACTATAAATAACTATAAACGACTACTATAATTTTGTATTATTTTACTATTTAAATGAAATACTTACATGTTAAAGAGAGAAAGAATTAATATTCTATTGTTATTAATTTCTGTAAAATATATTAATTCATATATCAATTCATAAATATAACTAAACTATAAATAACTATATATTATAATTCATGTATCAATTCATAAATATAACTAAACTATAAATAACTATATATTATAATTCATGTATCAATTCATATATTGATTCATAAATATAACTAAACTATAAATAACTATAAACGACTACTATAATTTTGTATTAATTTACTATTTAAACGAAATACATGTTAAAGAATTAATATTCTATTATTATTAATTTTTGTAAAATATATTAATTCATGAATGTTAATATTCTGTTGTTATTAATTTCTATAGAATATATTAATTCATCGATGTTACCAAACGGTGGCAGAAATCAACAGATTTGCAATTATAATACGCCAGTTAAACCTGGACATGTTTGTGCGGTTGAGGTGAACAACTGGGGACCTTGCTCGCCTAGTCAGCAATATGGTTTCAATAATTCAGCTCCTTGTGTCTTCGTTAAATTAAATAGGGTATGTTATGATTCCATCGTTTATTGATTTTAGTGTATCGTGATTTCTATTTGTTGTTAATCAACTGATATATATATTTCATTCCTCAGATATATGGTTGGGTACCAGAATATTATAACAATACCGAAGATTTGCCAGAGAACATGCCATCAAGTCTTGTTGAACATATTAAATCAGTCAACAGTTCATGGGTTAGTTAGTCGGTCAGTTAATTGTGTCAGTCGATATATTTAAAACATATTTCAATAATACTGTATACTTAATAAGACGATTTTCATAATTTCATTTATATTTATACAAACGTTTTACAAAACAAAGGTGACACGGTATTGTTTGAATACAGATAAAATCATAAAAATAAAGTTACATGAAATAAATATTCAAGAATGAATTGTATTTGCAAGTTATAGTATAGTATATTGTTCATATCTCTGTCTTTTACAGTTGAATACCGTGTGGTTATCATGCAAAGGTGCAAACCCACACGATAATGAAGAAATCGGTGAATTGAACTACTATCCCGAAAATCAAGGATTCCCAGGATATTATTATCCTTATCAAAATATTCCTGGTTACTTAAGTCCTGTCGTAGCTGTACATTTCCTTCGGCCAGCAAGTAAGTAAATTATAATTCTTTGCAGCTTTCGTTGTCAAGAAAACACCTCAGATATGAAAGATCTAAATCTTAAAATTCTCCCTATTTGAATATAAAATGATAACATTCTATCAAAAAAATCATTTTCGATTACGAAAACTCCAGATTTGGAAATCATAAAATCTCATTGATCTGCGAGTCGCAAGAAAAATGATTGACTTTTCAGTTGTTGATCAAGCAAGATCAAAGATCGTGCTCATATTTCATAAACTAGTTACTTAACATTGACCGACCTGCATATGTAGACGGTAAGCAAATGATACACTCCAGCTAAAACCAGTAAAATCCAGTGCATCGCGGCACGATATCGGTTATTAAAAAGGTGTCATCGGCAAAACAGTTTTAAAATTACGTAAACATATTGTCTCATCTCGCAACACACTTCATTAGCCAATGTACTTTTTGATAAACAACACCATGCATTAGAATTACATTTATAAACAATTCGCTATAGTTCTTGCAAGCTCTGGTAATCTTAAAACACAGATAACATGGTATGAAAGCAAAACTGAAAAGATTTTGAAGCATTTTAAATTTGAAAAATTCTGCATATTTTCATTGTTACATGAAAATTACAAAAGAAGAACATGACGTTAAAAGAAATAGTGAATTCTGCAAGAAATGCTTAACACTAGGTTTACCAAGGGGTCGTTTTGACCCCTCTGAGGAAACCATTCGTTAATT